CTATGTTTTAAAACTATTGTTTGTGCTATCGTCACTAACTTCTTCATAAAAATAACTAAAATTTTATGTAAGTTTTCAAATTTTGAATATGCATCATTTTCATTTTGATAGTCTTATAAGAAGGTTCTTAAAATATAACATGTGAGGTTATTAATCATAAATTAAAATTTTCATGTATATCGTTTTTATAAGTGAATTCATCTATAGTCTTGTAATTTATTGTCAAAAGATTTTTTTTTAATATTAAATTTTTAAGTCCAAAACTACAAAATTTATAATATCCAACTTATTAATTTTATTTAGATCAAATTGTCTCAACACATACTTTTCTAGAATTTTAACAGCTAAAACAAAATCTCTCTATAAATTAATATCACTATACATAAATTGATAAAATATCATGGTCCCTACATTATTGATTTATAAAAGTTTTACGATATAAACACTGACACAAGGCCAACACAAACACACACACACACACAAGAGAAAGAAGAGAACTCGATGGATAACATTTTATTCAATAAAATAAAAGATTGCATAAAAAATCATCAAATAAGACACACAAAAAACGTGAAACAAATTATTCATTCTACAATCCTTTTATGATAATAAGTTATGGAAGGAAACCCCTAGAAATTATATTAAAATGGAATAATAAAAACCAAATGATACTATATGCATCAAATAAATAATTTAAATTACTTGATCATGAATCATTCATCAAACAGTAGTAGAAAAAGCATGCACTAACTCATATGGCACATTGGATATAAACACTTTCCCAAACCATTCAAGCCTCCCCCAAATCTCCAAATTTTGGTGTTTTTCAAGAGCAATATATGCACACCAGATGATCGTCTCGTGATGATCGTCTCGTGATGATTTTCAACATTCACACACTCCTCTCACAAAACCGCCATTTTCCACCATAATCCGCCAATTAAACTTTAACATTATGAGTAAAGCTAGAAAATCCTTCCAATCCCTTTAAACTTTTCCAAAATTTGTTTTTATGGTCATACCAATCAATCGTACACCACGGCCTTGGTAGAACACATTCTCTATCACACAGTAAGATGATGACAAAATCCATCCAGTAATCATCGCTATGTATGCCACTCTCCATCTACCTTTAATCCTTTATCCACCACGACCTTTGTAAGTCGCATATGTTTCCTTAGACCTCACATGGATACTACTTTCATACCCAACGCTTTATTGTACATAGTATTATGCATGCATTATTATTATTATTATTTTTATTTTTTTGTCTATTTAAGGTTACAATATAAAAGATATTTGAGAAGAAAATGAAATAATGTTTTTAAAAATTTTTTTTTAGTGTTAACATAATAACTTAATAAATATTGATAATATAAAATAGAAAGATAATAAATTATGAAACGTTTTAAAACTTTAAAATTTATATTTTTCTCATGGAAAGTTTATTATGTTATAGTTAATACATTTACATAATATGGAGGTAGTTGACCAAAGGTAAAAACATGGTAGACATATTAATAATTGGAATCTATATATATAAATGTATGTAAACATGTATATATCTATATAAAGGCATTTACAAGACCATCGCAATCAATTCTTTGTAACTGGTATAATATCAGAAAGATAAAAGGTAAATCGATTTATAAATATGTATGATTTTGTAGGAAATGTAAAAAACAAACATTTAATTAAAGAAGACAACATATCTCTTATACTCACCTTAAACTTAATGTTGATTTTGTACCTAATATTTTTAGTGGTTTTGTTTGCCCTTTAGGTTAAAATATATTCTTGAAAAGTAGTTGTCAGATCTTAACTAATGACAACTAAGAAATTCTTATCTCTTCTGCTACCTTCATTGATGGTGTTTATTTTTTTTATTTTTTTTGATTATTTGGAATCCTCTTAAGAAATTTGAGATGCTTGTATGTGCAATTTCCATGATAAATTATATAATTGATCATTAATTTACGTAAAATATTGCTATTGTGTTTATATATGAAACAAATAGAAAAAAGTCCTACCAGTTGTGACGACAAATGCAATAGCACATCGCAATGCAATAAAATATACACATCAAAAGGTTACGCGAAAGAAATTTGTAAAGGGGACCTTCATTTGTTTTACATATGTTATTGCTTTACCAAATTTGAATCTCAAGATGATCCTTTCATTGCTAGTCCTCCTAATTACTAATTAACTTCTTATTTTATATGTACTAGGGAGAATCCGGGCTACACTACGCCCGGAGATATATTTGGCAGCTTAATTTTTTAAAAAATTAGTTAATTTAAGTTTTAGTTCGTTTATAGTTTTGTTAGTAGACATGCAAAAAAAAAATCATATTACACTACATTTTTTGTGTACTGTTAATTGTTTATATTAATAAATCTTTAATTTTTTTTTTCTATTTTATATATATTTACAAATTGAGATTTATTATTAGTCTATATAGTATTTTCTCATCTATTTTCCCGTCATAATTTATTTGCAGTTGTCTCAGTCACCCTTTAGCTAACGGAACGTCTCTAAGCCTTGAGACTAAGGTTGAACTTGAGAACACTCTTGATTTTCATCCTCTTTAATCTTAGTAGAATGGCAGCACCAATTTCCTAATCATGGCATGTGCATTAGATCACTATGAAAACGCAGACATGTCTTGAAAAATCTACTTAATTTTGGTTGTAAGTTTCTTTCTAACGTAATTCTAATTCTAATCGATAATTAGCTATGAAGCCAAACCGAAATCATAGACGAAGATAACAAACTCCAGGGTAAACTAAAAATAGAGAAATTTCATATAGAGGATTAGAACAGAGTGAACCTTGTGTTGAGATTTGGAGAAGATAATTGGCCGATCAAGATCCGTAAACCCACGTCGTCAGTATCACTTTTTTATTGTCCCATAGCACCATCCGCTCACGGTCTGGCCAACGTCAATATTACATCATGGCTTTGACACTGTCACACTGCTTTCTTGTCCTTTTCTTTTTTGGAAAATGGCTTAGTTTCTCAAAACCATCACAGGTTACCTTTTCTAATGTGGGAATTTCTTATTAATTTAACTCTGGTTGTCGTTTGGTATGAACGCAAATAGAAGACAAAAGAGTTGAACTTAGGGATGCGAAAACGTAATGCAAATTAAAGGAGCTGATTAGTTTGAGAGTTTTTGTTTATAATTATAGTGTAACGTTTTTTGTTAACAAATCATTAATGAGGTGACTAATAAAAGCAGCTATCAATATCGAAGTTTGAGGAGGAGACGAAGTGCATTCTTCTCCTGAGGACAATTCTCAAACAAATCTGACGTGGCATCTTCTTAGATGATTTTGTTTTTGCTGATGTAGACACATTGAGAAGCTTCAATGAGTTTCTTTTATTAGTAGTAGATTATCAGTTATATGAATAAAACATATTTCAAATATTATATATTTACATTATCTCATCCGAGGTTTATGTTGATCGCATTGTTTCTTTACAGTCAAATGATAACCAAAAGAGAGCATCAAAAGAAATAACATGAAGCATAATATTAGACCGATGTCATTCTTCTCCAACCAGATTTTGTTATGATTGACCATCTGAGAATCGAAGACCTCAAACTTAAATCATTTGCCATTCCCCAACACTATAAATTTGAGTCATATAGTTTTAATTAGTTCTCATATTCTTGTAATACAAGTCGATTAGCGTGTTGTACTGTAGCCCTAGGTCACACATGATGTCTCGTAGATTAGGTTTCATGCGGCAATTTTTCGAGTTGAAGACTCAAAAACGTTGCTAAGAGGACGTAATATGAAATAGAAACAAATAAAAAATACAAAATAAGTAGAAACCAAAGAACTAAAACCAATTAAATACAAACACATTAACATTATAAATTTAAACACCAGCTATTGATTAACATGCTCTAAAAATTTTCGAACCTAATAAGATCATAAAAGCTTAAAACAACCACTGAAACTTCAATCATAATTTCAAAACTGGATTTTTGTCACTATTCATATTCTTCCTCAAATCAGTAATTTGGTTTCATGTTTTTTAACAAACCAAACACCAAATTATGATCTACAAGCTTTGAATAATTGACAATTAGCATTAATTGCAAGAAATTAAATTTTATTCAGCATATACTAACGACTTAGATTGTGACAAATGGGTATCATCAAAGCCGGCCATGAGTAATAATATTTTGGGCCGACTAATAACATAACTTTAGGAAAAAAAAAAGAAGGCTCACGCTTCTACGCCCATACACAAGCCAACTTGGCTACTAAAGCTTTTCTACATAATTGGCCGCTCAAAAAGATAACATATCGAAGACCACAAGCATATGCATAATCGCATGAGATCTTCCGGTGATTGACTGACCTCCCACGTCAATATTACTCAGAAGACAGAAGGTCTACTAAAGCTCAACATATACGGAAATAGTTAGCATCCGTCTTTGTCTAATTGGAGGTTTGAGAAAATAATAACATCTCACCTCGATCATATATCAACATGATCTCCATTTTTTGAGCTTGCAATTTCCAAACAATCTTAGAAAACAACCACAAGATAATAATAATCATGAAAAAAAAATAGATGATTAAAAATCCTGCATTAAAAACATTACTCAAAAAAGATAATGCAGGACTTCAAAAGTAATTCGATAGCTTTAGTCAAAAACAGAAAAAAAAATAGATCCAATCATATAAAACACAAGTATGGCTCTAGTGGTGGTATACCTAGAAATCATAACTTATCAACTACTTTATATCCAACTAAAATATTTCAGGTTTGGTTTGTCATCACCATTTGGTGGCTTGTGCCTCGACATGATTCGCTGCTTTCACATAAAAATAATTGTCTACTTTTAATACTTTTTAAAAAAATATAATAATTGACAACAATTAAATACAAAACTAAATTAAAAAACAAAACAAGACTGTTTGTTCACTTTATTCTTTCACGGTCTCTACACGCCAAATCTCTGTTTCTTCATTCGACAAAACCGTCAATGTCTTGTCTTTAGATACTCTCCTACTCTCTCTCCGAGAACTTGATGTCTCTTGAACGGTCGGAGTTCGCCGACGGTGTTGCGGCACGGAGTCTAAGCGAGATTTCAGAAGTTGACGCCGTGAGAATCGGAACTGATATTGTATCTTCAGCGAGACGTCTCATCGCACTATTAAGGTCCGTCGGAGATTGTCAATGGCTTCATCATCCACTCGTTATTGCTGAAGCTATTAGAAGGTGACAAAAATAACTTCACCTTTACTCTTTCTCCTGAGTTTTTGATCGGACGGTTATGATTCATTTGGTCCCCAAAAGTTTGGATTTTTATTGGTTTTGTTCCTTAAAGATTTGATTTTTATGATCATGTAATTAAATGTGAATTGTTTAAGGTATGATGAGCTATGGATGCCGTTGATTTCTGATCTAACGGTTGGTTTGAAGCCACCAATGATTTTGCCTCCTCTTGATGTTGAATGGGTTTGGTTTTGTCATTGTTTGAATCCAGTAAGCTCTGAATTCATCTCTTGTAATACAAAGATTTTGATTTGATTTGGTATTATAGTTTGATTTATCTTTGTTTAGGTAAGTTATAGGGATTACTGTGAAAAGAGATTCTCAAAACTTATAGGGAAGCCTGCTATTTACGATGAAGAGAACGAGGATTATGCGGTTTTACAATGCGAGAAAATCTGGAGTTTACGATATCCGTTGGAGAGTTTTGAGAACAGAGCTGATCCTGATTCACTTGAGACTGTTTCTTTAGCTAATGAAGATATTAAAACATTAGTTGAGAAGCAGAAGTTTCTTTGGGAGAAGTTTTCAGCACCTTATATGTCTGAAACCGTTTACTTGATCGCTGCGCGGTTACGTTACAAAGGGTTTTTGTTGATTCTACATAAGTTTAAAGATGAGGTTTCTAGTCTTATTCCAGCTTCTGATATACTTCTTATGTGGCTTACGCATCAGAGCTACCCGACGGTATATAAAGATGATGTTGATGAAATGTTGGAAGAGATGGCGAGAAAAGTGGTACAAGTTGGAGAAAAGGTTGAGAAAGTAGAAGTGGAAACAACGAAAGAGCTGTGGGATAGATACTTCAATCAACCGTATGAGAAAGCAGGCGGCGAATTGACGATAATAGCGAATGAGTCTGGTTTAAGTAACAACACAGTGTTTTACTGGCCTGTCTCTGATATGGATGTTAACACCGCGTATAAGTCCATTCGACCTAGATTTGTCTTGGAAGTAAGTTTGTGCTTTGATGTAATGACTTACTTGACTCTGAAGGAAGTGATTCTCATATCTGAATTGATTCTTTTTTTTATGTAGTTATGTATATTTCTAAGGCTGAATCCAAAGGCAGAGCGGAATGAGTCGATAGATCGGAGTTTTCTTCGTTTGAGAGTTGCTAGATGTCATAGGAAGCTGCAGCTGGATAAGAAAATGACTGATTTGTCTCGCGATGCGTCGTGGCAGAAAGCGTGGCATCTTTACTGTGAGTTTGGTACGTTAGGGTTTGTTTTGGAATCACATTGTGACCGTCCTCGTGGGATTTGCTTCAAAAGCGGAAAATCAGAAGGGATGATTGAGTTTTCTTGGAATGATCTGCTAAGAGCGCATTCTCTAGCGTCTGGTAGGTTTCTCGGTAAGCAAGTGAGTGTGTTTGCTTCGGTTACACCCCCGGTTCAAGCGCCCTACTTGCTGAGATTTGTACCAGATCGAGTTACCGATGATTCAGGTGCTATGATATCTGATTCTGTTCAAAGAACAAACAACTTCCGACCTCAAGAAGGAAGATGGCTTACCCGGACCGTGCTTGATCATGCTGGACGGGAATGCTTCGTTATCCGCATCCGGTAAACCGCGCAATCTATTATTCTTCTTAATGAAACTGATATTCCTTGAACTGACTGACTGTTTTTTAATTCTAAATCTTGTTTAGAGTTGGGAAGGGAATGTTTAAACGCGGAAGTGAAGTTCCATCCCCGGTGAACTCAGAGGAGCGGATAACAGAGATTCGAGTAGGTTCTTGGTCTTATGTCGAGGGTTCAATCGGTAAAGCTCCAGGTAAGTTGGCTTGGGCTGCAAGAAGAAACTCTGTTTTGTGTTGGTGTTTGTGTTAACAGCTTGCAAAAATTATGTTCAGTTTTTTAAGAAAGTTGAAACAATCGCAGCCTTAAGCTGTCTACCGATCATTGTGTTTTCTCGTCTAGTACAGCGAAAGTGGTTGGAACCGTGACGCCTAAGGAACCAGTGGAGGATTGGGAGGCTGCTTGGGAATTTTCGACTGGAGACGAATTGCACATCCGTTGGAACTCATCAGGAGTTATCTCAGAACTTGATTTATCTCCAAGAAACCCCGGTTCGCTGGTATAATCTTCGAGATTCAAGTGTTTTTTTTCGCGTTTTTCAAACCGGTTTTTGACATTTTTGGTAACATAGGTTCGGCTATTAACTGGACGGAGAATGCAATATAAAGGAGAAGACGAAGAAGAGGACGAGGGTTTTGTAACAGTTGTTAGATCAACAGAAGAAGATCCAACAGAAAAAGCAACTGCTCTGATCGACTGGAAGCATCAAGCTGTAGAATTTCTGCCCGAGGAAGATGCGGTTTTCGTCTTGTTATTGTCGGTATCAATTCTAAGGAGTGTAACACAGAAAAGAAGAGAAGATGTTGGTAAATTGTTGGTGCGGAAGAGGATAACCGAAGCTACCGGTGAACGGGATTGGGGATCAGTAATCGTCGATGCTTCATCATCTAATGTACCTTCTTCTTCGAGTCCATACGTAGAACCGTGGTATCGAAACTCCGGTAAGGTTATGGCGATGGAGGAGAAATCAGCACAAGTTGCAAGATATCCATATCCTGTTATGAGCTATTCAAACATTGATGGTGGCGATAATTTGTACAAACACGTAATATTCGGGTGAAACTTCAAAAAGATAGCATTATCTTTAGTCAGATGGATTGGTGTAACCTAAACTAATAGGATGCTTTTGATGTCTCTGTCTCTAGATATTTATGTCTTTGCCTTGACGTTAAATCAACTAGACCTGTTTACCGTACTAAATATATTGTAAACTAGATAACTTGTAAATGAAATCAAATCAATCAAATGTTTGTTCTTAAAAATTGATATGGCTTGATGCCTCCAATCTTGCATACATCTTTTTCATCATTCTTAGTATTTGAATAATACATTTGCCCACAATACTATAATTGATAGACAAAATTATCATCCTATCTATACGCTTCTTAGAAAAATCGGTGATCTCAGCTTGCTCCGATTCTTTTTTGAATTGGAAAATGATTTGAAATATATAAGATCTTCAATTTATACACATAATAAACTTAAACTTACATATACCATTCATAGAACAAATGCAACAAGGTTTTATGCTCATTAAAACATATGCCTTATCAGTCTCAAAGGTTTTCCATCGTAACTACATTTCAAGGAACAAAAGTATAAAAAAACTCTGGCCCGATCATGACCTAAAGTACATCAAGTTGGCGCTTTAGGTAACAAGATATATTTTAATTTTAAGAGGCATCAAATTTTAAAACGTCACATATTACAGTGGTTGTTGTCTGAATAATTGGATAAATGCAACGAGTTCTAACTTATTTACAAAGTTGCAAGGTTTTCTAGAGATTTGGAGATTTCTGAAACCTCCTTTTTCTCCATAAAACTCTTAACTCTTACTTAGTTGGGACCGCCAAAACAAGGTCGTCATCATATAGACTTTGTCGCTCCCTGAGCCTCTTTCATACTTGGATATTTGTTGGTTCAAATGGCCATATATGATATATCAAGGTGTGGTGTCTAGTTTTCTTAAGGATATCCCGAATTTTTATGAGTTGGAGGACTTACCTAAACATGTTCTTTAGGATCAGCAATGTGCAAAACCTGCTCGTCTTACCACTAAAAATTTTGAATCACTTAAACCTTATATTATGACCAGGTCAAGATAATTCAAGCTATTTGTAATAATACCCAACCCAAGAAATCCATGTTAACTCGATATATTAACCTGGGTTAGGTATCTTATACTCCCTCCGTTTCGTTTTAGTTGTCGTTTAAGGTTTTTGCACACAAATTAAGAAAATCATTAAATTTTTTGTTTTACCCTTTATTAATATATTTTATAATTTTTTCATTGGTCAAAACATTAAAACATTAATGACAAAACATTAATTTTCACCAAACATTTGCATTGAAAACCTAAAACGACAACTATTATGAAACAAAATTTTAATCCTAAAACGACAACTAAACTGAAACGGAGGGAGTATAATTAAGTAAGGATTCCACAAAACTCATGCTCTAAAAGTTGACACATATCACCCAAAATCTTGACATGTGCCATTTTCTTTAAATTCTAATGAATAAAATTAATTATTAATTTTTATTCAATGACATAATAAAGTCTTCAATTTTTCTTTTGGACTCAAATATACTCTCTCTGTTTCATTATATAAGATGTTTTGGAGTTTTTATTGTGTTTCATTATATAAGATGTTTACAAGTTTCAATGCAAATTTTATATGTATTTAATATTTTTTATTATATAGATTATGCAGTCTCTTTTGTAATTGGTTGATTTTTTAAAAGTCAAATATTAAATGATAACTTTAAAAAGAAAATTAAATTTCTTAAATAATGTGCTTTTAGCTAAAACATCAAATAATTTGAAACAGAGGGAGTATCATTTTCTTTCAGATTTAATTTGAATAGGCAATCACAAATATAGCCAGAGGAAGAACACCGAGAAAAGAAGCTGGTATCATTCCGAGCTTTGATAGAACAGAAGCATCAACCGCCACAATTGAAGTTATGAGGCAAATCCAGTTAAGAATCCGAGTAGATCTTCCTACAATGTAGACAAAATTCAAAACCAAATTAACAACAAAATTAAAACATACATGTGTTCAATGCCCAATGGGAAGCTATTTGAGAAGATGTTAATCCTATTCCAAGAAGTATATTACACCAACCAATCAATGTCACACAGCGCCATTGGTTTTGGAAATAAAAATTGATTTCCAGAAATCAGTATGAAAAATGATCTAGTCAATTTCGTGAAATACTCGGTAAACTTACGCAATCCATCATCATCTGAGAACAGAAAATTAGAAATTTTGGCTAAAAAAATTTCGTCGGCCATGAGAAATGAGAAAATCAGAGGAAAAAAAGTACAGAGATAAAAAAAAAAAAAAAAGATAAAAAGGGAGAGAGAAAAAGAAATTTGAATCTTAAAAACAACAGATAACTCATCCCGAGACAAAAATATGGACTTTATTTAGTTTTCCATAATTTCTTGTATGGGCCCAAAACAAATAAAACATTAGCCCATTTTTTTGCCCATATTAACCTCACGCGCGAGCCAAACCGAAGAATTTTTTTTTTTTTTCCGAGATGAGGATTCGTGTATTTGTGGGGTGAGGTATTAATGTTTTCTTTTTTTTTGTATCTGACTGTTGAGTGTCTTTTCCTCTCGCCTTTTCATCAGCCTTGGTCTCTGTAAATCCTAAGTCCCATCAATTGTCTCTTGATCTCAATTTTGGTCGACTTCAGACTAAGAGATTGTAAGTAATGGTATGAACTCTACTTCATGAAAAGAAATTCGAATATTCTATAATCGTAACCCATGAAGAGGGAGAAACATTTGACGACTAAAAGCTTTAAGAAAACAAAACCCAAAAATAGTAATAGTAAACACGCCTGCAAATTCCTTTCGCTTTGATACTCACGGCGGTGGAACTGAATCTCCGATACAACTGAATGGTTAAGACGATGATGAGTTTACAATCTCTAAGTCTAAATTTGATGTACTTTAATTTTTAATTATTACACATTACAACTCTCTAAAGTTGGCACCTTGTGAGCAATAAAAACGATACTTGAATTATTTTATGATATTAATTAATCACAGGGTGCCAACTTTAAAGTCGTGGGAGGTATAGTAATTCTTCGGTAGATCCATAATGGAATCTCAAATTAAGAGTGAGAGCTGCTTTCAATCGAAGGAGCTTATTTAATTTTATTATATCCAACTTTTAATTCCTACAACATAGAGTTGTGGATATTGTGTGTGGGGGCACTCAATGTTAAGAGATTAGGTAAAATAACATAACTTCTTTAGAAAGTGGCAATAAATTTTGTTAAGGGTAGAGAAGAGAAGTGGAGGTTTAAGAGATCAACCGGAACAGAGAGTTTTTTATAACATCTAAAAACTTGGAAGAATAATAAAGATTACATAATTTATAATATCTAAGTACTACACTAACTCTCCTAATACCTTGACACTGATGTCCTCCACACACGAATATTCAAATATTTTTCAAAGAACACAACTTTGAAGATATTGTGTGTGGGGGCCTTCCTTGTCAAGAGATTAGGAGAAGTAACATAACTTCTCTACAAAGTGTCAGTAAATTTTGTTAAGCGTAGAGAGGAAAACTGGAAGAGTAAGAGACCTACCGGAACCAAATGATTTTTATATGGTGGGAAAAGTTTAAGTTTTTGACTTTTTCAAATTAATTAGTTTTTAAAAAATCAACTAAAAATAAGAACGAGATCCATTTATAAGGGGAAGTAATATTTTTTCGAAATTTGCAGGATATTTATAATTCCCTTTTCAATGATGTGAATAAATTATACTTTGGTTTTTTTTCTTTTTTTTTGCTAAAAATGTAAATATTTCATTAGAATTGAAAAAAGTTAGGATTTACATGAAGTATAATATTTCATTGTACTTTAGTTTCGCTTTGATAGTTTCAAATCTATACTAGTATTTTTTATGTACATTTTAGAGAATAACCTTTGTTTCAGTAAATATTTATAAAAAATGCAATTACTTTATATCTATGTATCCAAACAACTTTACAAATAATTTTCGACTATCAATATAACCAAGAGGCATTTGCAAATGACTATTTTTCTATGTTCTTTTTCAAAAATACCCCTTCATGTTTTCTATTTTCAAATATACCTCGTTTTATGTATAAAATAACTAAATTACCTTTCTTTGAGTGAGAGCGGATATTGAGAAGATGAAATTTTTCCCTCAAAAATTTTTGCGCCAAAAGTTTCTCATTATCCCTTAAAACCCCTTGTAAATCTTTTATAAACCTTATAAAATCTTTTAAACCCCCTTTTAAATTCTAAAACCTTTAAAAATTCTTGTAATCTTTTATAACACTTTTAAAATTCTTGTAAATCCTTTTAAAACTCTTTATAAATCCTTGTAAATTCATTTTCCGCAAAAATTCCAGGATCACGTTTTCCGCCAAAATTTACTGGTTAACTTTTCTTGGTGGGAAAATTAACTTTTTCATTTTGTTGAATTAAATATTTATTAAATAGAAGTAAAATGGTCTTTAAAATTTAAGAAAGATCAAAACTAAAAATGACCAGAAAATTGGATGTTTTTTTTAAATATATATATATATCTAAGAAAGAGTATATCTAACCATTTCTCTTGTTTTATTTAGAGATTTTCAGAATTAAACACGGTAGGCCTTACAAGTTTCCTATCTCTATCCATTTGTCCATCTCCTTTCTTTTTCCTTAATTTGCAGTGCAGGAAAAGTTCAAAGAGTCGTTTTCGCATGGCCTATGAAGAGACTTTGATGTCCAAAAAGCAGAATGTAGTGTTTTGAGTCCATTGCTTCTCTACTTGGATCTGAGAGATGAGCTAAATTGATAGATAAACAAAACTGAAGTTAAGCATCTACATGTTTTTATTATCATTCCAGCAAAAATTTACAAACGCATAAAAGCATTACCGAAAAGACGAAATTACATATAGAAACAAACACACAAACGAACTCATACAACGCACACATAAGAGAACACCTCTTTGGCCTACAAAAAGCAAAAAACCAACCACTTCATGCTGTCAAAACGACAGCGTTTAAGGGTACTCTGTTTTCTTCTTCTTTTCTCTTTTTCATGATTTGTGTTAGAGATCACATGCCGTAAGTAGGAGGAGAGCTCCTTGGTCCAGTCTCTGATCCTCCTGCTGCCTTATCGAACGCATCCGACGTCGACCGTCT